GCTGTCCCCATCAGGTGGTGGAGAGTGAGGAGAGTGCGGCTGTCAGGGTCTTCCTCGGAGGCGTTGTGCGGACTCTGAGCAGCGCCGGCCCATGCATCCTGAGCACAGAGGACCTGCTGGAGTCCAGTTTCCTGGGTGCTGCTCCTGTTCCCCGGGTGGGTTTCCTGGGCAGCATGGTCTCTCCTCATCTGCTATTGAAACCTGGAGTTGAGCAGGAGACCACTGCGGGCCCCAGCTGGGCACCCAGGGAGGCACGCTCGTGTTAGGGTGTCCAAGTGCTGGCGATGAACCTTCAGCCCTGTGCACTGGTTTCTGGAAATGCGGAAAGCCCCCGAGACGGAGGCAGCCTCCGTGGGGTGTGAAGCCAGCCACTGGGCACGCGGGCTGCAGAAGGAAAGGGGAGGAGTGTGGTGGGGAGGGCGGGGGCAGGTGACGTGCCAGGGCCCTCCGTGCCTGCACCAATAGGTCACTGGGCAGCTACTCAACACAGGCCTCGTGCTCAGAATCTACATTTAAGTCCATCAAAATCATCATCATTATCCGAGGGCTAAACCCTCCTAGGACCAGTTTTCCTGTGGAAAAGGCTGGCGACCTGCGACCTGCGTGAACACTGCGCTGCAGGCTGTCCCACAGCACCCTCCTTGAGGCAGCAGGAATAGAAACACCCCCCCCCCCCGTGAGCCCCAGGAGCTGTTTACACAGGAGTCAGGCTTGGGCTACCCAGGCACAGATACCTCTGACGCTGAGAGAGCGCTGAACTGTTTCATTTCTGTTTGTTTCTATATTTAGTCATTTCTCCATCTCATCTGAGGACTTCTTAAAGGTAAACGTCAAACATAAAACTCCCATCTTGGTGAGCTGAGCCGCCTGGGTGAGCTAGCCCGAGAACCTGGCCAGAAGGGGTGTTTTCCCAACCTGCAAACCACCAACGGGCAAACAGTCATTTGGAATCTAATAGATCTGGAGATTGGTGGGACAATTTTGTTCACAATGTTGAACGGATGCAAAGAATAAAAATGATTCCTTTCCCCAAACCTGAACAGGAAAAGTTTGTCATTAATCATCATTAATAGTTACTATTGCTTAAAAATGAGTATGCTTTGGCTTGGCACCATCTCCCAGCTGCAGAGCTCTAAGGAAGACCATCTGAGAGCAAGTGGGCACCTCTCCCCATGCCTACAATGTGTGGGGGCGCAGGGGCTCCAACCCTCGGCCCCGATGCCTGTGCGGAAATATCTAGAAGGCAGCTTGGAGGCCAGGGGTCTCTGTACCTTGAATCCAGGAGGACGGAGACACAGGCTCCCACCCTGGGCACCAAGACACTCGCTGTGGTCTGACTTCTAACTCTCCTGGGCCCACAGGGGCCAGCTCTCCCACCCCAGGCCCCTTGCTCCTGCCCAGCACTTTGGACTCCCACCCTGCACCTGCTCTGCGGGGCTGAGCCGCTGCTGGTGGCCCCAGGTCACATTTACTGTGTAATCTCAGGGCCAGACTTGGGCTGAAAATGGGGGACCCCCAGACCCAAGTCCCCAGCTGGGGAGATGACCCTCCAGGAGACACCTCCGAGGGAGACCATGAAGGTGAAGCCAAACTGCAGCAGCCCCAAGTGGGGCGGCCTGGGGCCTGGAAGGGGTCTGGCGTGAGGGCCTCCTGCGTCCCAGTGAACTTTCAAACCTGTCTTTCTCTACTCCCTCTCCATGTCCCCTGCTCACCTGTGGCTCTTCCCGTTGGTCTTGGCTTCTCTCCTCTCTCCCCGTCCTCCATCAGCCCACTCCTGCCCCTTGGGAGTCCTCACCCCTGGTCCTGGCTCCAGCTTGACGGGAGGGTCCCTTCTTAACCCAAGCCTGGCCAGCTCACGTCACCAACCCCAAGGACAGCTTCATTTTGAGAGAGAGTGTGGAGCAAAAGCAAGAGCTCCACAGGCTGCGTCTCCACAGATGAGGCGCGGGACACGGGGGTGGAGGGCAGAGGGGGAGAGGCCCCTTTCCCACCACCCTCCAAGTGCCCGCTTTCCCACAGTGCACCAGCTCCTGCAGCTCTTGCCGACGTGGAAAACGTGGGCTCCCCTGTCGAACCGCTCACGTGAGAGCAGGCTCCATTCCCGCAGCCACCAGACCGGTCCCTCTTCTCATCATTCCATCTCTGGCTGCAAATTGGAGAGGGTTTCCCTGCTGTCCTAGCAACACCGAGCTCTGGCCAGTCCCACCTCTGCCTAGTGGCCAACCCATCCCCAGGGCTGCCCTAGGAAGCCAGCTCAGCCTGACTGGAGATGACGCCCTTATTAGATCGCCTGGCATGAGCCCTGTCCCCGACAGCTGCTCTGTGTCCTCTCCTGTCCTCTCCTGTCCTTCCCCATGCCAAGAGGTCGTTGGGCAGGTATTCCTGTCCTGATTTCCAAATGAGAAAGACTGGCCCAGAGGCCGGGGCCTGCCCAAGGTCACCCAGCCCGTCACCAGGGTTTAAATCATTCTCTTTCCTGCACTGCCCCAAACCAGCTGCAACCCACCTCCCACTGCCCCATCTGAATGAAAACAAGCCACGTTAGCTGGACGTGGTGCAGCCACGTCTGCCGCACGGTGATTTTGAGGATGGGAATTCCCCGCTAGAGACAAGCTCTGGGTGTCTGTGTGCACCTGCTCCCCATTGCCAGGATTTCTCACCAAAGCCCACGACCAGAAATGCCATCCCAGAGGCCTCCTAGAATTGTCTTGGCCCCATCTGGACATGAGGGTGGGCGAGGAGGTGAGCGAGAGTGGACACTTCACCCACTACCCAATTTGAAAGAAGCAGAGTTTCTGGGAAGTGGACATTTTGAATCATATGCCACCAACAGTCCAGCTGAAAAGAGAAGTGTCAGGAGCCCAGCTGGTGGTACCAAGAGCATTCAACAGGCAGAGGCTCAGCGTGCAGGGCCTGGGGCTAGAGATGCTGTCCCTGCCGCCCGGGGGTGGGACCAGGCCACTCTCCCACCAGAGCCACTTCCTGTTTTGCAGCCGAGCCCTCTGTGACCAGGGGCACCTGGCGGAGTCCTGCCACAGAGGTGAGTGGGGAGAAGTGGCTCTCAGCCAGGCCCTGGCCCCACCCAGGAGTCACACACTGCTCCTGAGCCACCTGGTGAAGACCCTGTTCTCCCCTGTCTCCAAGCTGTCACTCAAGTAGCGGCCCCCACCCTGTGAGCTCAGCCGTCAGTCAGCCCTGACCTTGGACAGCTCCCTCCCTCCCTCTGGCCAGGACTTTGACAGCTGGTACCAGACAGTAGCATGCCCTCGGCCCTGGGCACCGTGTCCACCTTGATCCGTGCTGACTCACCTGCCATCTCAAGTCACCAACTGTGGCCCAAGAGCTGATAAAGTGTTCCCAGAGCATCTTCTGACCCCACGGATCTGAAATAGAGAAAGCTGCAGGGTCTCTGCACGAGGAGAGCCCTCGGTCCCCGCTGGAAGCTCTGAGCTAGCCGCAGCCCTCCTGGGCCTTACTCGAGGCATCCTACAGCACCCGAGGCGGGGAGACCTGTGTGCAGAGGCTGCTGCGTAGGGCTGGGAGCAGAGCTTGGGTCTGGGTGAGAAGCCTGGACGTGGCCTGTGGGGGCAGCCCTTGTCGTGGGTGTCCGTGGGCAGGCCTGTGTTCCAGCATGGTGGGGGTCACCCTGCAGGTCCCGACACAACCTCGGATCCCACGAACAGGCAGGAACATGGGCTTCTCTGGGTGACTGTCAGGTGCCAGGGAGGGCAGACGAGTGTGTGACAGATGTGAGGCTGAGTGTCTGGATGTGAAGAGGTGTCAGCAGAGAGGACGTGGCCATCAGTGGACATTGACAGCACCCAGACTCAGAAGCTCAGTGAGGGACTTGAGGCAGCACAGGGACTGGGGGACAGTGGGCATGGAGGGGGACACCAGAGGATCAGGAGACATCAGCAGCCGTGTGAGTGCCAGCGCTAGCCACGCCTGTTCGTGGGAAGACTGGCCATGGACGAGGCCTTTGCCTCCTGAGGCCCAGTGGCCTTGCTCGGTTTTCCCAGGGAGGGAAAGGCCCCGCTGCAGGCTTCTTCCTGACTCTTCCTCCAACACCAGGGCAGAGCGGGCCCTCCCTTCCCAGATCCTCACGCCGCCCCAGGGAAGCGAGCTGACCAGGAAGGAGTGAGAAGGTCAGGGTGTGTGGAGGTGTCACATGGCACCCATAGACATGTCCTCAGCGCTGACTGAAGCTCCGGGTGGCTGGGCAGGGTTACTGACAGGGCAACGGGCAAGACGTCCTTTCACAAGTTGCTTGTTGGGTGAGATTCTGCCCAGGAGTGGACGGGACTCTGGTTCATCTCCCTGTGGGGTGTCAGAGGGCCATCCTGGATCCCACCAGGGAACTCCCCACTCAGGAGAAACCATGAAGCCATGTGGTGTGGTGGGGACCCCGGCAGAGGGGACAGAGCCCCGCAGATCCTGCGGTCAGCTCCACGGAGACTCCCTCCTGGGCAGCAGCACGACTGACCGCAGGAGCAGAGCTGAGGGGCTTCTCTCTGTGTCTTCCAGCCACTCAGTCCTCCCCCGGGCCTCACCAGTGCTGGGGAGGGAGGACAGAAGCGGCTGGTGACTCCGGAGTGTCCGCCTCCTGGCCAGCATACTGTGTGGTTAGGATTCTTCAGAATCAGCAGCAAGTTTCCTCCCTGAGAGCCACCGCACTAAGACATCACCAGACGCTGCCATTTCCACCTGGGGCTGCTCCCAGAGACCACCCATGGGGAGGGAAGAGAGCTTGGGGGACTCGCTTCTGGTACCCACCCGCTGCCCTGCGGTCGCCCACTGAGGCGGGTGCGGGGGAGACCGCGGACGCAGCCCGAGTGCTCTCCCTGGGGGACACACCTGCCTCTGACCTGCAGCTCCGTTGCCATGGTACCCGAGGCCCTTGGTTTCCATGGCACCACTCCTGGAAGGCAGGGCGAGGAGGCTGGGCTCACCCACAGGGTTTTCCTGTTTCTTCTATGGAAATTACAAGCCTGAGCGGGGGGGGGGGCTGCAGCCACCAAGGAGGAAACGTCTGGCAGCCACGTGCAGGAGGGCCAGCCCCCAGGGACCAGGCCTCCGTCCCCAGCACCCATCCTGCCTGCTGCCTGAGGTCCAGATGAGGGTGAGGCTGTTGGGGACAGGGTAGGCGTGGTCCCGCCAGGCCCCTTGGCTAAGTGACTGCCCGGGCAGGAGCGGGCACCATGTTCTTTTCTGATGTCTGGGCCTTCTGTGGCCAGAAGCCCGGCTGTGGGGTGAGTGAGCTGGAGAAGGAGGCCCTGGTGGGAGGGGCGGAGCTGCCCTGGCCACCGCCAAGCAGGGCCACGTCCTGAGTGACCGCAGACCTGCGGTGGCATCCAGGTGCAGCTGTGAGGGAAGGGGGTCGTGGTCAGACTCCAGTCAGCACATGGCCAGACCCCCGCTGGCCCGGGCTCCTCTGTATAGCTGCCCCCACCCCGGGGATCTGAGCAGGGCTTGTGGGGTCTGTGAGTCCTGAGGTCGCTCTGCTGACTGTGAAAGGCCCATCTCCCCGACACCTCAGCATCCAACCCACACTCAGGTCCTCCCCTCGGTGCCCGCCCATCCCCCAGAGCACGAGTGCCTGGGGTGAGCCCTCCCTGGCTCCTGATGGTACTGGGACCCTCCCAGGGTGCCCTGTGTCTGTCGGAGAAGCAGGGCATATGGACCACACGGAGGGAAGTTCAAGGGCACGGAGAGGGCATCTCACGGTGGTACAGCGAGGGCAAGAAGCAGGAGCCGGGGGAGGAAGCCCAGCTCCTGTCTGCAGCAACCACCTCCTTGGTGACACCGATTCACTCGTCAGGACAGAGCCCTCAGGATGATCACCTCCCAAGGGCCCCACCTCCAGCAGTTGTGTTGGGGGACAGTCCCCAATGCATGGATTTGGGGACCCATTCAGACCACGAGGCATGGTCAGCGCATCCTCTTTATTTTGCACTGGGGTAGGAGAGGATGACCCCACCTGACCCTGACCTTGGGCCCTCTCTGCTCCAGCCCGGCACCCCCAGGCTGTCTCTTCATGTGGAGTTCTCTTTGGCACTATCTTCAAGACTCTGGACCAAGAGAGAATTTTCTAGCCAGGTCCCGACATGGGAAGGTGGACAGGAGGATCTCTCACTGGGCCTCTGGCCTCACTGCCAGTCCCACACCTCAGGTGTCCCCCACAACTCACTGACTCTGGGTGACCTTGGTTTGCCTCTGGCCTGACCTCTGGTTTTGCAACAGTGACCCACCTGCCCAACAGCCTCCAGGGGCCCCCACCTCTAGCTTTCTGAGGACAATGGTTGGGGTCCAGGGGGGAGAGCGCCCACACCGATTTTAACAGAAGAGTTAATGCAAGAACTGACTCATACAGGAAATGACCCAGCAGAGCAGAGGGCTAGGGACCCGAGAGGCCCTGGAGGAAGGAAGCCCTGGGGATGGGGGCCTGGTTTGCACAGACCTTAGACAGGCCCTGGGCAGGGCACGCAGCCACTGCTGCCTGGGGACAACCCTTCAGGCAGTGCCATGGGCCAGAGCATGCAGCCTCTCTTCTTGTCCTGTCTCAGGTTCCACTCACCCCCCGGGCAGGTCCCTGGCAGGAGAAGGGCCACGGATGGCCAGCTCCACACCCGTCAGAGCAGCTGCCTTCTGCTCACTGTCTCTCTGCTCACTGTCTCTCTGCTCACTGTCTCTCTGCCTCACTGTCTCTCTGCTCACTGTCTCTCTGCTCACTGTCTCTCTGCTCACTGTCTCTCTGCCTCACTGTCTCTCTGCTCACTGTCTCTCTGCCTCACTGTCTCTCTGCTCACTGTCTCTCTGCCTCACTGTCTCTCT